TCGAGGAGCTTGTTTCAGGCCATAGATAACTTTATTAAGCTTGCACACCAACCCTTCATTTCCTTGTTCATATCCAGGCGACTGCTTCATATAAACTTCTTCAGTCAGCACTCCATTCAGAAACGCATTGTTGATGTCAACTTGGCGAAGCTGCCATCCCTTGGACAAGGCAAGCGAGATAATAACTCGAACAGTGGTTGGCTTAACCACTGGACTAAATACTTCATGGAAATCAATTTTATCTTGCTGAATGAACCCTTTGGCTACGAGGCGAGCCTTGTAACGAGACACAATCCCATCATGATTTCTTTTCACCTTAAAATCCATTTGCAGTGAACAACTTGTCGTCCCTTGGGAAGAGGAACTAGTGACCAAGTTCTATTCTTCACCAAAGCTTCATATTCTTCTTGCACCGCTTTAGCCCAATGAGGACTACGTATCGCTTTTTTAATTGAATAGGGTTCTTTTTCTAGACAGTCTACCTGAAATGTCTTCAATTTTTTAATCCCATTTTTCCTTCTCGTAACAATGGGATGAAAATTTTGAGAAATAGGCTGAAGATCACCTAAGGTAGGTATATTGTCCTATGAAACAGGCATTGCCCTTGAAACAGGCTCAACAACAGAAGGAGTAGACTCATCCACATCAGATGACTATTCCACACATTCTGGAATCACTGAGGCTGCAAGAAGGATTGTACTAGGTGGTTCCACACGTTCTAGAATCATATAAGCTGCAGGAAACCTGGTAGTAGACGAACTAACATCATTTCAAGGAAGTACTTCTTCATTATTTGATGTAGCAACTACTTCCTCACTATAACCAACATCACGAGTAGAACCATTAGCTACACCAGGAACAAGAACAGGCAGCACACCAGTAGTTACATCAGACTCACCTCGAGTACACGAGCAACCAACACAACTTGCTTTCTTATAAGGAAACTCCTCCTCGTCAAAAATTACATGCGAGAGAGAATAACCTTGCCTGAATCATCCAAGCACTTGTAACCTTTATGAGAGAAACTGTAACCAAGAAATACACATTTTTGAGAACGAGCTTACAATTTGTGCCGATTAAAAGTGTGTAAACAAGGAAAACAAGCACTGCCAAACACACGAATAAGAGAGTAATTTGGAGATTGTCTATAAAGAACTTCAAACGGAGATCGACCACTCAAAACTCTCGTAGGAAGTCTGTTTATTAGATATACTGCTGACACAAAAGCATAGCTCCAGAATTTTAATGGCAACGAGGCTTGAGACAACATAGCAAGACCCATTTCAACAACATGCCTATGCTTCCTCTCAGCTTTATCATTCTATTCAAAAGTCCCAGGACAAGATATACGATGTAAAACCCTATTCTATCTGAACCAAGACCTCAGAGCCTGATATTCTCCACCTCCATCAAACTGTAATATCTTGACTTTGTACCCAAATTGGACTTCAACCATCTTAACAAAGTCAAGAAAACATTGAATTACTTCAGATTTACGTTTGAGTAAATAAACCCACATGTATCGACTAAACATATCAATGAATGAGACATAGTAAGCAAATCCATCTGAAGAAACAACCGATGCAGGTCCCCAAACATCAGACACAACCAATTTAAAAGGCTCATTGTATTCAGTCAAAGACTTACAAAAGGGCAATTTGTGTGCTTTGCCTTGCATGCATGCAGTACAAACATGAGTGAATTTAGTTTTATTTGAAGAGATATTACAAGACTTCATAACCGAAAGAACAACATCCAAAGAAGGATCACCTAGCCTCCTATGCCACAGCTCCAAAGCATCCTGTAAACCAGAAACATTGTGGACTTGAAATCCTGCCTCCTGCTTGTCACATGACTCATGACCATCATATGAAAGCAGTTGATATAACCCCTCATTCGTGAGCTTCCCTCGAAGAAGAAACGTTCTGGTCTTAGCATCATTCACAAAGCACTCAGAAGCATGAAACTCAATAAAAACGTTATTGTCACACGTGAACTGTGTGAGAGATAATAGTTTCTTCTTAATATTAGGAACGTGCAACATGTTTTATAAAATTAAAAATTTCTATCTTATAGGTAAGAAACCTCGACCAACATGATCAATTTTAACCCCCTCACCGTTCCCCATGAGTAAGGTATTAGCACCAGTGTAAATAGTACTTGAGTCAAAGACAAACAGGTCATTAGAGACATAATGAGTAGCACTCGTATCAGAATACCAAGCAATTTCTGGAGGCACTGATGAGCAAGTTGAACTAGGAGAAACTTATGAGTTGAACACTGTAGGAACTGTGGAGGCAAAAGGTGATTTCCCAGTAGATACAGAAAACTGATAGTAACCCGAGACATGAGGCACACCAGTCATTCCTGGTAAACCAGGACCAGCCGAGTAAAAATTGGTGGGTGTGAATAAGGAACAAACGAGTGATGAATAGGCGAGAAAGGTTGAACCGTATGAAAGAACACTTGCCCTCTAGATTGCTGTTTGACTGGATTTATTCGAGTAAATTATTTATGTAAATCACCAGTTTAATCCTCACCTCCAGTTACACCAGTAAAGTCACGATCAAAACGGTGATAACACTTTTGCACCACATGGCCAAACTTACCACACAAATGGCATTGAGGTTTGTTTGAACTCTGTCCTCAGCCTCGACCACGATAATCGCCACCTTGATGGTCGATTCTGACCTAAATGCAGTTGTGATGCATTATTCTCTTTAGCATCCACCTCAATGTATTACCTCCATGGGTAAATAGGCCAAGTTAGCTGCAACACCTTCATTCAAGAACACTTTCTGTCGAGCCTCACAGTCCATTAACGTATCAGTCAGAGTTTCTAAAGACAGACTCTCACGAGATGCAATAGCGATGATTGACTCGAACTCCATCGATAGACCAGCAAGAACAACACTCACATGTTCCTGCTCAGTGACAACACTACTAAATGCATTTACTAAATCACATATAGACTTAACCTTTGCAAGATACTCACTAATAGTTAACCCAGACTTTCTTTGAGTATGCAAACTATGCCTAAGGGCTGAAATCTTGGCAGCAGATCGAGCACCAAACAACCGAGAAACAACAGACCATATGGAAGAGGTTGTTGTAAGACAAGTAAGATGAGGAAGAACCTCAGTCCCAATCGTGGTGAGTAACCAAGAAGCTAGCAATTTATCTTGCTGCCTATGAATCAAGAAAGTCGGATTAACCCCAGCCTGACCAAACACACTTGCAACATACTCGTCTGGTAGAACTGCATTACTGGAAAGAAAACTTGACAATCCATAACCATCGACTATCAACGCAACTTGATGCGGATTGGAGACACGATTTTAGAACCTCGAATTGAATTTGCATTTAGATCAACCATGACGAACAAGATGAAACAAAAACAGATTAACAGCGGAATAAACAACCACCAGGATTGACGAATGATACCATGTCAAGGTTCATAAGCTCAGCTCAATGAGTAGAAGTCAATAAGAAAAGAGAGAATAGGCTCTGTAAACCTTGTTAATGAAAAAAATATATCTGCAGTCTTACAACCAAGCTTACTTATAGTTTCATGAACGTATACAACAACTATACAAAAGCATAATAGCTTCATAACAGAAAACTCAACAAACTATTCCTAACTAACTCATAACCAAATGGAAACCTATTACATTCCCCATGCTTTCCAAACTTCTAAACAACAGTTGAGAATCAAAACACCATGGCAAAAGTTACATTTCCCTCTCTCCTCATTTGTCATTAGCTTACGGTAACAAAGCAACCACAAGAAGGCTTTTTAACTCGAGGCCATCACCGAAACTTATGAACGATCACCCACACCGGATTAGAATTAGTGGTAATGGTTCCGTGGCGCACCTTATAAGTGGATTTCAAACTGAACGAACGGTCACGACAGCCTTTCCAACCAATCACATATTTGGAGACTCTCGGTTTTGACCCTTTAATAGCAGCTATCTTGAGTAAAATATCATTCAGAAGAAAATGAGCAAATAAACGCCATTGCCAGACCCCTTGGACATTGGCCATAGATGTGACAGAGCTGCGCCCAATAGAAGGAACCAGATCCGAACGAACATGAGCAATTACGGGCTTATTTCATTGAGCCAGACATCATGTCAAAAATTAACTGTCGTTTCCGATCCAAGAGACCACACCAAATTAGAACACATCATTCCAAATGACACTCAAACTTTTCCATAGGCGAGAACAGTTCATGTTACGCAAGGACAAAGCAACGCCGGTAGTGCATTTATACTTCGATCGAACGAACCAAACCCAAAGAGATCGGGATGCCAATTTCAATAAGCGTCTCGTGGATAAAATCTCATTCAAACCAATCGTAAGCTTTCTCAAGATCAGTTTTCAGTGCCATCCATCTTTTCTTCCCACCTTAGATATAATTTTATAGGTGACCGTACACAGACTAATAGACCGAACCGAGTCGTTGAATTAGGCAACGTCACCTTAGGCAATAGAACAAAGACCGTCTGATTGATGGAAACTCAGTTATACCATAATCAAATAACTGTTTCACGAAACCACACACAAAACTTCCCACAATATGGCAATTACATTGAAAGAATTCGGCATTCAACCCATCACCCGGGGCCTGAGAGTTGTTAACTTTTTTGTTCTCCATAAAATTGATATTTCATAAAATAACACGACACTTGATCAATATTTTCCTTACTATAAGATAGATTATTATATTATCCATACTAAATAAGCTTTTTATTCGAATACTATTTTGATTAATTAAATAAGTATAAAGATTAAATCAATTATATGTTGATCGATTGATAGAGTTAAACCGTGCCTGAATGAGAAGAAACCACCTAGGATTCGATAAAGTTGTCCAGAAAAAATGAGGAAGAAAGAATAAAGTAGTAGTAAACAAAAACAATGGGAACAAAACAAATAATAAAAATAAAGATGCAGGGAGAGAATTGATCAATATATATATATATATATCCAAAAAAATGGGTTTGTTCTTCACTCACTGCCATCTATCTGCCAGTTTGTAATTTAATATTTTATCTCCATTAATGCTGCCAAGGAAAACTCTGGCAGCTTCTATATGACACTCATATCTTGTGACTAAATCTGTCTCTTCACACACTTATGTTCTTTCTCCAACTCATTCTTATTCCCTCTCCTTCTCCATTTTTCTGGCTCTAAATCGGGTTCCAACTTCAAGCTTCATTGATTCAGCTTGGATCAAATTTACTGGAAAAAAAACATGCAAGACACCATCGGGATTCCTGCTTGTTTTCATCAGGTGAGAAGCTTAGTGATGATTCGACAGCCGTCACCAGGTCCGGCGAGAGCGTTTTCATGTCTGTTTTCCGAACGAAGATTGCCGACCATTATCGTTTGGTCACTGTCACTTGGTGCAAGAAACTGTTACTCCATGGTCTTTCAGTATCAGTGGAAGGTCCCCAGGGAGAGAACCAGTATGGGTGTAAAGTTGAGCTTAAACCATGGTGGTTTTGGAGAAAACAAGATTCCAAACGCTTATTAATCGATGGTAAAAACTCTTGATGTTTTGGGACCTTAAGTCTGCTAAATTCAATGCCAAACCGAACCCATTTCCGAGTACTATGTTGCAGTTTGTAATGGACAAGTTGTTTTACTTGTTGGGGATCTAAAGAAGGAAGCTTATAGGAAAACTGGTTGCAGGCCTGCACTTATCGATCCCGTTTTGGTTTCAAGAAAAGAGCACATATTTGGGAAAAAGAGATTCTCAACAAGATCTAAATTCCATGAAAAAGGTTGGTTTCATGAGATCTCAATCGAGTGTAAGACAGAAATGTGGATTCATTAGATGGTGTTATTGTTGAGCCTGAAATGGAGATGAGAATTGATGGGAATTTGGCCCTTCATGTCCAGCATCTTGAATGGAAATTCAGAGGGAATGAATCCATCAATGTCAACAGAAGAAGATTACAGGTTTACTGGGATGTTCATGATTGGCTTTTCAGTCCTGGTTTAAGACATGCCTTGTTTATATTCAAGCCTGTTTTGTCATCGTCCTCGTCGTCATCGCCGTTATCGTTGTCGTCATTGTCATTGTCGTCACAAACAGGGAGCAGCGGTTCATTAGAAGGACTCAACAATGGTGACTCACCAGAGTTTTGCTTGTTTCTTTATGCCTGGAAGATTGAATGACATCACCATCAATACCTTAAGATTCAATCTTTCCTGTTATGGGACATCATGTATGACTCCATTATTGAGTAGAGAAAAATGATATCACAGTTGGGATTGAAGCAAGTGGCTCAGAATTGGACAAAGCACATTGTTTTAAGAAATTATTTCTTTTAATTTCTTTCTTGATCTGGTCTAGATAAGTGAGCAAGCTCAAATATGTAAGATGATAAATTGATAATAAAATCATTAAACCGCAAGGCTTATCTGTTATGCACTGCACATGGATATTATAGTTCTTTATTCAGCTAACTTACTTTGATTTCCTCTTTCCTTACTCGTTTACCCTCAATGACTTGAAAAATCTCCACTTTGTTCTCATTATCATCAATGGAGTAACTTTAGTAGGTGAAAATTACAGCAACATACACCCCATACATCTTTGATGAAAGAATCTAACTGACCTTTTATCGAAAGTTTGTTAAAGAACCGAAACTAAAATCCGTGTTTTCCAATCGATCTGTGCCAACAAGTGATAACATGTTGTCATAAACATCGATATACCCGAATGCATCAGAACCAGGAGGACACTCTAAAGCAGCATCAAGCACCTTGTGATAAAAACCATGAGAATCAATTGAATATCTTCCTTTATGACTGTGTCCGGTGAGGCAAACCTTCACACAATCGTACCGGTGAATCACATCCAATACTTGGTCATAATTCCATAAAAGCAACGTTTTGCCTGTTGCACCAGGATCTAATGGAAGATGACAACATACAATCTCTTTTTGTTTCGTATTTGTTGCATCTTGAAGTACACTATCGAGCCATTCCATTTGCTCAATTCCAACTTCTCCATTGAACATAACAAACCTTCTATCAACGTCCTTCAGTCCCTCCGGACTGGTTTTATTTGAATTCGGGCTTTTTTCACTCAGTATTTTCAAGGCCTCCAATGTATTCGGATGATCATGAGGCCATCCGATTGCACTGATATCGTATCCATCCAATACAAAGAATCTGTATACCGGTGTTGGCGAAAAATCATAGTATGCATGTGTGACGACTGACATGATTCGGGATCTTCAATAGAGGAAGCAACTCATCCCGTGGGAGATTGTAAAGACAATGATTTCCAATCATGTGATACACTGGACCACGAAATTTTTCGAACTCACCGACTACTCTCTTCACAGCATCTACAGATTGATCCTTGGGGCACTTCCCATCAACAATATCTCCGAAACTAATCACAAAGTTAAGATTCTTGTGGTTGTTCCAGATCTTGACTGCCCTTTGCCGAAAAAGAATACTATGTCTATAATACCGAGGAATGAGTGACCGTCGGGGACATCAGCATACTGAACATCAGCAATAACACCAAAGGAAAATATAGGATGCCTGCCCTGGACATTTGCTAATCCATTTGCCAAGGCCATGCAGAAATCACTCCTTTCACCTATCATATTACCATTTCAATCATTAATTTTCCAAGGCCAAATCCATAAAGAAATTAGTAATGAAATGAAAAACAAAAATCGAAAGAAATGAATTATATGCATGATGGCTAACAGGTGAAGCTGAGGATGTCATATAATTAACAGCCATCAGCTCATTACAGAAAAGTTGAAGCAACGTAAATAGCAACAAATTCATCAAACCTAAATGAAGCAGTTTCTCACAATTTGACTATCTGAGAAACAAAATCCCATTGCATGTATTCACCGTAACTACTACCTTTCGGGTTTCTTCGCGTCGTTGATGATTGCAGAAAGTTCGATAAACTGACAAAAGAAAAGGATTCACTTAAAAGACACAAATACTGCAGACACAACTGCTTGAGTCCGGATCCTCTACAAAGAACAACATCATTTTTACCCGAATCCGGGTGAACGTTATGCATTGGACATAGGCATCAATCACAATTACGGTAGAAAAAAATGAAAAATCCGAATTACATTATAGGTGGGTGTATTAAGGGCAGACTCTTCGGATAAACATTTAAAGACACAATACTATAATTCATCCAAACTTCGACTTTCCAGAAAGAAATCAACAACCTCATTAAGGTTACACCAAACCAAAAAAGCACAGATCAAAACTAACAGGAAACCCCTCATACAAGTTTAATACATTTCAACAGTTAATGGATTCCTCTTTCTCTCTGCTTCTTATCCCTGAAAAGGTTGCTTTCATGAGACAAACACACGGGAAATTAATCTATCTAATCTAAAAACATCCCAAGAAAACAAAAGGGAAAATTAATTCTCAAACAAAGATATGATGCTTGAACACAGACAAACAAATAATATCATTCAAGGAAATTGTGAAAGGGATACCCTGTTTGACTGTTTGGGATTTGAATGGAGCCCTCCAAGAGATGTTGGTTGTCGCAGAGATTTGTGACTGAAAATGGCTAAAGGAGAGAGGGAGCGTTGGATATTGGACAAGGCTTCTCCTTGTTGGCGTCAACTATTCTTTTTTGCTTTGGAATTATATTATGCAAAATAGTTGGAATTAATTATAAGAATAGGAGGAGAAGTTTTAGAAAATAACCAAAATATTATAGAAAGGGAAAACTACATAAATACCAGTCAAACGTTTAGGATATTTTCATTTAGAGTGTCGTGTTTTTAAAACTTACAATATAATCAGTAAACTTTTAATTTATTTTTCTTACCATCACTTATGTAAATTGTCGTTAATAAATGTTGGGGTGACACGTTAAATTCATCTTGCCAAACAAAAATACTAAAATCTAAAATTAACATATAATTTGTTGAGACCGACAGTACATCTCATGACGTAATAGAAAAATTAATTCAACGGTCAACTTCAGATATTCAAGTACGATTAATGAATCAAGAAAGAATCATGCAAAATATTACCTTATTTCATCTGGAAACATTAATATGAAATATAGAGATTTGTTGTAAATTAATGGTGAGTCCAAACCAATACGATAACGTCTCGAAGTCTACACAGTCCACCCAATTGGAACAAATAATTTTAATTCTCTAGCTGTTAGAGTTAACACACAAGTGCTAATATAACTGCTAGACCTTTTACCTTTATATAGTCTTTAAAAGACTAATTCAAATACACTTTTCAAAAACTACACTCGTTTTTATCTTATGCAAATGAATTATATTTTGATAAATAATTTCAAGGTAGTGTCATATTAAGAAATAATTTTAAAAATGACATATTTAGATAATATAATTGATTATGAGTTAAGTTCTTGGACTATTAAGCCAATAATGGAATAAAAGTATTGAAAATTTTAAATTACATACCATTAAAGAATACAAATCAAACAAACAATTAGTCTAGTAGGATAAGTCATTAGAACTCTTAAACAAGATTAGGAGTTTAAATCTTGATAATTACGAATAGAGTAAATTAGGTTGGGAAGGTCGCCTTTGTCTCTGTAATATTCGATCCGGATTAGTCAATCAATAGATGAGATATAAGTGGTTATACAAAAAAGAGAATAAAAATCAAATTAATTGGATATATTTTTAGGGGGCATTTGATTAACGGAAAAAATCATTACCAAGAGGAATAATCTTTTTCGGAATTGTATTATCATGTTTGGTTCTTGAAAAAAATCATTATCATGTAATAACTTATTATCAATAATAGTATTTTTTTATTAAAATGGTGGAAATATCATTACCTCTAAATTTTTAGGTAATGAACAATTCTCACCACTGTGGACACAAACACTCCTGAAATAATTATTCTTTTAATATGAATTATTCTCAATTTTTATTTTTCGTGTTTTACTCAAAATTATAAATTTAATAATAAAATATAAAGAGTTTAATTTAGTAAAATATTAATAAAATGAAGTAGTTAAAATTATTTTATATTTTTAATATTTAGTATGTTAATCATTATATATTTTATAAGGTGAAAATGTTATTATTGTAAAAATATAATTATTTAAAATAATACTGAGTTATTAAAATAATAGATTTTATACATTAAAAAATAATATATTTGTACACTCGACATAATAATATTTTTTTCGTATTATACTATATTTTATATATACAAATATGATATTTATTAAAATTATTTAAAAATATAAATTTAATATTCTAATTATTATTTTTGGGTACAATAATGTATCATTACAACGATAATCTTAGGAAGAAGGATTAACTCTTTAGAGGTTCCTTTAGGAAACACAATTCATCTTCCATCTCCAGGGCCATGTTGACCAAAAGGTCTGCACATTTGTTCCCCTCTCGTTTAATATGTTTGATTTCTTTTATCCAATCCCCATCTTTTAATTCCTGCAGTCGTTTAGGAGGGTGATACTTTGGGTGTTTCCAGTAATTTCCTGGTTCAAAGCTTCTACAAGAATTTTGGAAACGATTAGTTTTCTGATTCCCAGACATTTTGCAACTGCAGGACCATCCTTCAATCCCTGAAACTCAGCCTTTGAACTGTCAGTTCCTCTGAATCGACTTAAGAATCCACCAACTCAGTCGTCGTTTATGTTTCTTATCAAACCTCAGGCCGCTGTTATTCCAGAATCAGGTTTGCATGCACCGTCCGTGTTTAGCAGCCATATTCCTTCCGGTGGTTTTGAACATTTCACCCAAAGAGGTTCCAAGATAATCTCTCTTTGCTTTGAATCAGTTGCTAGTTTAATTTCTCTGGCAAATGTGTGGCTTTGATTAGCGATTTACACCAGATTTTCATTTGAAACCCTAATATACTAATTACATTGATTATATGATAAATGTATTTTTATTTAAATTTAGACAGGTTAACAATTAAAATATTTTTTTATAAATTTTATTAAAATATTTAAAATTTAATATTAAAGTTTAATGTGTTAAAAAGAATATATATCGTAAGAATAATTTAGTAAATATGTATTCAAATAATTTTCTAATCTTCTAACCAAACAATGTAATTTTACATTTCTGCTATATTATCCAAGAAAATACAACATTACTAGGTCTTCCAAGTAACAGAAGGGTTCAATCTTATCGAGGTATAAGAGAAGAAGAAACGGCTCTAGCAATGGAGGACATTACTAGGTCTTGCTCTTCAGGTTTACCGGTGAATCTAAGTGAACTCTTTTCTGCAACTACAAACAACGTAGTCAGCAGAATAGCTTTGGGAAGAAAGTATAGTGAAGATACAAACAAGTTTAAGAAGCTTTTGAGTGATTTTTCTGAGCTGTTGGGTACTTCGAACGTCGGGGATTATCTTGCATGGCTTGCATGGGTAAGCCATGTTAATGGATTCAATGATAAAGCTGATAAAGGGGCGAAGGCGTTCGATGAATTTCTAGATGGAGTGATCGAAGAACGTATAAATCGGCGTAATAAACATGTAAATTATCAAAATGACCTTGTAGATATTCTGCTGGAGGTTCAGAAAGAAAACACAGTTGGCTTGCCTATAGACAGAACTAGCATCAAGGCTCTTATTTTGGTAAGAACTATCAGCTTCATTCAAATTGTTGAGATCATTTCTTATAATTCTGAAACATTGGCTCCATTATTTTTTTTTTATAGTATGAGGTGATTATAACATTCTCTTTTATTACTGACGTCACTTAATGGGTTCTCGATTTAATATTTTAATGAATGAAGATGATATTTTTGCAGGATATGTTTGCGGCCGGTACTCATACGACATACTTGGCCCTGGAGTGGAAAATGACCGAGCTATTAAGGCACCCAAAGGTAATGAAAGAAGTTAAAAACGAGGCCAGGAAAGTTTCCGGTGGAAAATCAAGCATATCGGAAGATGATCTCCATAACATGCACTACCTAAAAGCGGTGATCAAAGAACTCTCCGTTTACATCCTCCACTTCCGTTGTTGCTTCCAGCAATATCAACAAAAGACGTAAAGATAATTGGATATGACATTATCGAAGGAACTCAAGTTATCATCAACGTTTGGGCAATCGGAAGAGACCCATCGTCATGGGAGAAACCAGAAGAGTTTCTGCCGGACAGGTTCTTGAACAACTCGATAGATTTCAAAGGACAACATTTTGAGTTGATTCCTTTCGGTTCTGGAAGGAGGATTTGTCCGGGCATACTGTTTGCTATGCAAATAAGTGAGCTTTTCTTAGCCAATCTCGTGCATAAGTTTGACTGGTCATTGCCTGGGGGATCAAACGACAAGGAATTGGACATGACCGAGTCTGTAGGCATTACCAGCAGTAAAAAATCTCCTCGAATTGCTACCACAAATCAATGTTCTGTCTACTGCGAAAACGTCTATGCCATGTAAATCTACTTCTTTTCTAGAGTGTTGTTTATTAGAGTGATTCGGTACAGTTAAAGATTTTAATATTGAGATTCAAGATTTTTCAATTCATTAATAGATTCATGTACACTTCTCCTTCCGTATCTAGCTTTTGATTTCAATGGTTTGACATGCAAATCCAAAACAATAATTACTTTATCAGTTATTCTGAGCGATATAAGAACTATAACCCATAATTTATGGAAATTTTTTTTAGGATGAGTTTGGAGGCATTAAATTTCTCAACTTGGGACATTTGAAAACTAGATTTCAATTGAACAGAACGCTTTCACGTTTCAACTGCATTTGCAAAAGAATATATCCCATTCAATGTGATAGAGACGACATGAAAACAATAGGATTCAAAACTAAGAAACATGCAACTTCATGAATTCTTCTAACCACTACTATGGCTTTCATTTTCAAAATTGGGATCCTTAAAACATCTCTGTTCACCTAAACGAGAATTCAACCATCTTTCAGATGATTTAAATATAACCTTAGTGAGACCGTATATCCTGAAGATAGCGACCAACTTGCTGCGCACCGATGAACAAGGCATCTGCAACCACAAAAACTCCAACCTGCGGCAAAATCAACTTCGACTATGTCAGATAGTAACTATACTCGAGCTCACTTTGCTGGAATGAGGAAGCGAATAACAACCAGACGGGCGGAGTAGAGTACACGGTAACCCCAACCCTCTTTGGCAACTTGAGTTCTTTGTTGATCTGTCCAACTGAAATTTAAAAGGAATTAGAAAAGAAGCTGTTCTGCATGATGACAGTCAACTATAAGTTGCATAATATCTGCTTATGAATCTTAAAGTTCAACTTGCACTTGCTACTCCTGATCACATTTACAAAAAATATATATATATATTTTCTTTTATTACAGACAGGTACTTGAAGAAATACAAGGATATAGTTTGAGCTATAACTAAAAAAAATGGTTTCAATCTATGTTACTCTGACTCTTCATTTCACAAGTACCTGTGTTTGATACCCAGGTCCAAATATTTGGACATAAGTATCAGGATGCAATACATACATGAAACTTGTGCCGGGTCCGAGTAACTTGGGTTTTAATATCCTTAGAACCAGTTTTGGAACCAAGTCCAGGCAGGTTAATTTCTCATATTTATTTTGGGGACAAAAGTTATATGAAAATTTCCAAGCAGCATGTCAAACAAACAAGAAGAGTAAGAGATATTATATACCCGAGAAACTCTGAAAGCCCGCCAATTCCTGCAAACTTCAACGGCTGAGAACCTTCTCCAGCAAGATCCTAAAGAAAACAAGTTGAGATTTGTGAAATTAAAGGAATTTCTTCATGTATAATCAAAGATAAAAATAATTAGTGTCTGCACAAAAATGAGAAATATAAAGACTAAAAGGAAATTCTATCGAACATTACCTCCTCTTCAGCAGCCTCTAGACCCCCTTGAACCCAGAAAAGATTTTTGTAGCCAGCATTACACAGTAGCTCACAAGCCGCTAGAGATCTGGCAGAATAGTGTCGTTCAGTTAAGAAAAAGAATCAATACTGCGTTTAGCAGCTAAAGGGCTCTCAAAGATATATATTTTCACTTTACGGTAACCCTTATCTAATTCTCATGTGCTCCTACATTGCATAACAAGAATATCATATATCAAACTCCATCTATTTTTCTTCATTTTCTTTATCGTTTTTTTTTTCTCGATCTCAGCAACTGCACTGGTCACGATACAATGCAGAGTTTTAACTCCAGCTTTATCTTAGAAAAACATTTGCATTCCAGGCAGTCTTTATTACGGTAGGAAATGAAACTGATTGTTTGAAACTATCATCAATACTGAAGCACAAGCAGTCTCCTCTGTCACTTCAAAAAATCTTAAAAAAATCACCTCAACCCTTTCTGGCATGCAACAATAAGCTCGGCATCTTTAGGGAATTTCTCCTCAACTTGTGATAAATATTGACTGTCAAAGAAAGCACTCAGAGTATCAGTACAAAATTTATTCTACATACATGCATATGTAAGAGCAGATATGCACAAGAGTCAAGCACATGTGTGTCCAGAGGCACATGCACAAAAGAGAGAAGCAAAGGTAACTTATTAAGCACCTGTTATAAGACAACGTAGGCACACCACTCCACCAGCCCCCTATAGAAAATATAACACAGTATTAATAAGCGTCCCAACAACACATTAAAGCGGTTTTATCGGGTAGTACAATGCCATTAATATGATCTTCCTAGAGGTCAGAATATAGAAAGGAATCAAGAGGTACCCATCACAAAATTGGAGACTTTCCTTGAAACAGTTCCAACGTCAAATTTATTATCAACTTCAAAGATCGGTACCCAGGTAGAGCCCTTAACCCACGCCTTCAAAACAGAGCAAGCAAATATGAATATGTTCCAACCACCAATAAACATGACACCAACATTAAAGATCCCATGTAACATACAGTTCCCTAAATAAGAACGGGAGAAAATGAAAAGAGGAAGAATTTCTTTACTTGTTTTTAAACACCAACTACTTAACAATTTCTCAACAAGAAGAAATAATTTAAACAAATATGCCCATATAATGCTTTAAACATGATATTTTAAATGACACACTGATCATGGATGAAAACATGTTCATAATCTATGATACAATGAATGATAAGACTAGACCAGCTTCAATGCAGTAGACAAGAGAGTCAAAAAGTAGTTATAACAATCATGTACATTGTATTAAAGTTGAAAAGCAGTGATTAAGAAAGACAAAGAACTATCATTTAAGAACCTTCTCACGCTCACTAGACGGGCGAACATCGAGTAAAGGTTTGTTCGAGAGTTGAATTGCATAACCTGCCTCCTTAGGTGTAAGAATCTTTACTTTTCCTTCCCTAATCTGTAAACACACAATACAGCAAAAACTTACTACTGATAAAGCAAGAAGCCTCCACGTGAAAGATCAGTTTAATAGATTTAACAATATCAATGAGAATCATCCTCATTAGCCAGTACCCATGTACAAGTTTAAAAAAATCTTTGCTTTATCAAAGATGACACTCAAAATTCAAGTAAAAAATCAGATTAAAGAAGAGGGAAACGATAATTTAAAGTTAGGGATTAAAGAAAATATACCATAGCATCCCATCTCTTCTTTGCAGCAGCCATATCTCTCATTTGTTTCAACTCAAAATCTTCTTCACCAGCTTGCATTCGGATAACCCCACATTGCTAAATCCACAAGAAAACAAGACAATTAAAAAAATGGAGAAGAGAAAGAAAAAAAAGTTGAAAAACCAAAACCCATTGAATTAAAAGGCTGGAAAAATTGGAAAGAGAATCATACGAAACGTTGAGGAGCAACAGTGCATGGATGTCTGGAAGTTGATATACATGGAAATGAAGAGTTCAAAGGAGCTTTTTGGCTGTTAAGGCGCGAAATGGCTAGTGAATTGAAAGATGGAAGCGCCAAAGAAGCCATTTTTATGATTGTTTCGAGAATTTTTGCTTCAAAATAATTTTGATCATTTTATCAGTTGGATTTTGCTTTTATCTTTTCTGCGTTGGGTTCCCGGAGGATCCTATCTGAAAATCCAATTATCCAATTCTAAACGACTTCATGGACGCAACCAACGGCGTCGTTTCTTTTTGTTTTCAAGTTTTAATTTTCTTTTTAAGTGTTTTTTTCCTTCTCAAAAAGAAAAATATAATTCTTTTTTAGGGTAAAGTATAGTAATGGTCACTGAACTTTTCTAAATCTTTTATTTAGGTCCCTCAACTTTTAAAACTTGTAACACAGTCCTCCAACATTTAGTCCGTTTGCAATATGGACCTCTACCGTGACACTGCCGTTAGTACGTTTGCAATATGGTCACTGAACTTTTTAGGCGCTTGCATTTAGATCCCCCGACTTTTAAAACTTGCAACACAATCCTCAATTTTATTCTAAACCTCAAATTCCTTTTCGATCTTAAATTTACTTTTTCGCTTCTCTCTTCTCATTTCCAGCGTAACTTTTCAGTCGATGATGCATGGAAAATTTTAATCTAACTTTGAATTATGTGGAGGCCTTAACTTGAATAAGGGTTCATTGAGAGAAGACCCGACAAAGGGACTATCTGAACCATCAACAATTCAAGGTGTAATGTTAGATACAGATCATCCCAGGTGAAGCATAGATGTTCGATGAAATGCTTGTGAGAAAAAATGGGGTTATAAATTCAGAGTTGACAAATACTACTAAGATGAACTAAGTATCATTGTTGAAAGTCACCAACAAAGCTAGAATTATTTTGTATAAATGGCATATAATAATTTCTTCGTTTAATCCTTTTGGTTAAAGAATTTCCAACAGATGATCAAATATAATGAAATCCCAAACAATGCATTCACCTCTCAATCTCTTTCGCAACTCAAAAGGCATCATGACAGGGTCAAGTAGCTGCTCCAAATATACTACCCTGTCATGATGTCTTTCGAGTTGCGTGCATACAGAATTATCTTCTAAAGCTATAATTCAATACAATTCAACTGTAAAATTTTCAAAATATGTAAAAAAAATTCCAATTTATTCACGATATATCAGTCACATAATCAACATGAACTTATTAAAAAAGAATAAGAGCGCACAGGACGCCGAAAATCATAGGTCGGATCAATTCAATTCCCAGTAAACTAGTACCAGCAGTCTCTCGGATTGAGCCTGGCGATTTCACTATGTCGATATTCACAACCAATTCCCTGATTTAAAGAAAAACCAAACAATAATATATAAAAAAAATTAACCTAAGACTCTCTTTCACTTCTATTCTGATGAGCTGAATATCTTTCATAAAGAGTACTAAAATTTTTGATTAAGAAGAAAGAAAGAAAATTAGATGGTTTTGGTTCAAAATTAACACTGAATATCTAGATCATTGACATGCAGTTCCAAAAATATAAAAATTTCAACAAAAACACACAATACAAGCTAAAAATGAGAAAGTGCGAAAGATGAAAAACTCACTTTCGGATAGCCCAAAAGAGAAAATAAATACCTTCTTGCAAGTGAGGGGAAAGTCTAAGAAATAAACGCAATCAGTGTTGCGTTCTAGCAATTCTTCCTCCATTTTTTCTTTGTAAATAAAAAGCTGAAAGAGAGAACGCTGCTTGGGTTTACAATTTTACATTGAGGAAAATTGAAGAACAAAAACCAAACGAGAGTTCATGTGAGCGAAAAAGACTGAGAGGTGAATGCGCTATTTGGGATTTCATTATATTTGATCATCCTTTGGAAAATCTTTAACCACAAGGATCAAACGAAGAAATTATTATATGTCATTTATACAAAATAATTACAGCTTTGTTGGTGTCTTTCAACAATGATACTTAGTTCATCTTTGTAGTATTTGTCAACTCTACATTTCTAACCCCATTTTTTTCTCACAAGCACTTCATTGAACATCTATGCTTCACCTGAGATGATCTGTATCTAACATTACACCTTGAATCGTTGATGGTCCCGATAGTCCCTTGGTCGGGTCTTCTCTCAATGAACTCTTATTCAAGTTAACACCTCCACATAATTCAAAGTTAAATTATAATTTCCCATGCATCCACGACTGAAAAGTTACGTTGGAAATGAGAAGCGAAAAAGGAAATTCAAGATCGAAAAGGAATTTGGAGTTTAGAATGAAATTGAGGACTGTGTTGCAAGTTTTAAAAGTTGGGGGACCTAAATGCAAGTGTCTGAAAATTTCAGTGACCATATTGCAAACGTACTAACGGCAGTGTAACGACAGCGGACCATATTGCAAACGGACTAAATGTTGGAGAAATGTATTGCAAGTTTTAAAAGTTAGGGGATCTAAATGAAAGCTTTAGAAAAGTTCAGTGACCATTACTATACTTTACCCTTTTTTATTAAAAAAATTTATATTTACTTTTAAAAGAAAAAGATTCTATTAAATATAAAAAGTAATACTAAATTAACATGTTCTCAAATAGTTGGTCGCTGTACTAATGACTTGTTTGACTATTTTACCATTTTTAAATAAATTAAAATTAAAATTTAATATTATATAAATACATATAATTCCATCATAGCCGACTAAAAAAGTTTTAGAATCCCGAGTGAAAATTAAAAAAAAAGACAATATAGAACTAAATATTTTATTATTTTTGAAAAGCTAATTTAATATTTTGGGTAAACTATGTAATTAGAATCTAAATTTTCAATTTTTCAAAACCATGTTAACATTTAATTTTTGTTTTATTTTAGTACTTACTGTTAAAAACTTAATGCATGTATTTAATACCTTAATTATTAGTTTTAGCCTGTTTTAGTACCTAAATTTTTAATTTTTTCAAAACCATGCTTAACATTTAATTTTTGTTTTATTTTAGTACTTACCGTTTAAAACTTAATGCATGTATTTAATACTTAAACTATTAGTTTTAGTTTGTTTTAGTACCTAAACTTTCAATTTTTTAAAACTTAATGTTAAATTTTAAACTATGATACTAAAATGAAACAAAAGCTAAACTTTAAGTATGATTTTGATAAAATTCAATGTTTAGGTACTAGAGTAGACCAAAATTAATAGTTTAAGTACTAAACACATAATTTACTTTAATATTTTATTAATGAATTATAGAAACATAATTAAATTTTATCGAATATATTATTTTTTATTATTTTATTGATTTGAGAATTCAAATCAAATCTAGTGAAACAATTGCAGATAAAATAAGGAAAGGTAAGAAAAAAATTGGGGTAACCGGAAATAACGGTGGGTAAAGCGGTTATCAGACAAAGATGCGTCATACGAAAGCAGTTGAAAATGATTTGGAAAGTCAAAAGATTGAAGGTGGGAAGTGGATTACGGGTATCTACAATGTCGTCGAAAGGAAACTTCCCATAAACTGTCCCCATTGTCTTCTGAAGTGGATTACGGGTATCTTTGTTTGGTGTGTTTCTGAGTTTTTATGAGTTTTCATGAACGGATGTAGAATTTGAAAGAAGAAAGGTTTTTGCTTTATGGGTTTACAGCTAGAACTGTTTATAAATTTCTGGTTTGTATTGTTTACACTGTTTCTGGAAATGATGCCATTATTTTAATCTTAATAATAACACATTATCAACTGAGTTTAAACCTGTTATTCGGTTTAAAATTATGTATAATATCTGCGAAAATACCTTATTATTTACAGTCAACTTGTGTTCTTTGCCATTCATATTTGCATACATTGAATCGTGCAGAATATATGTGAACTATAGAGCTGATGGGTGGCATAACAACGAAACGATTGACCACAGCACAGTCCTCTTCTGTGGCGTCTAATTCATATTCACGGGATCATAATAGATATGCACAGCCATCGTATGCTTCCTCCGGCCGGGACTATGTTTCGGAGCGGTATTATGCCCCTCCGCCTCCAAGCTATGGTGGTCATACTCATACCCCTGAGTCGAAGAGGAGACTGGAGAGAAAATATTCGAAGATAGATGATAACGACAATAGCTTGGAGCAGGTATGTTGTATTTGTGGTTCCCAGTGGTTTAAATGCAAGAAATGTTTAGTGACTTTTCGAACCTCACCGGCATCTACTTGGAGACACCGTTTTTGTTATTTATAGGACGCTGTAGCCTATATATGCATAACTCTGTACTGTAAATTTCACCTTAGCTGTAGAAAATTTCACAATGCCGTTCATGCTCCTCATTGGCTTTGTTATGCTATTTGGCTAGCCTACTGAATCTGTGTTTTCGATATGGTAAGAAAAGCTTGTTGTACTCTTCTTTTTTCCTAATGTCACCGATGACCTGGCCCTTGCTGGCTTGGAGTCTTCTAATCTTATTGTTGGTATCGATTTCACGACGAGCAACGAGTGGACAGGATCAACACTCTCTCGATGTGTTATATATATTTTACGACACAATACCTTTTATCGTGCTTTCAAATAGGTGCAAGATCTTTCCACCGAACAAGTCTACAACACAAAGTGTTATATATATTAGGTTAGTACGCTGCATATATTTATAATCGCATCCTAGCATCGAATGACCACGTATTTGTTTTTCATCCTTCTAACGCCTAGGATTACTACAAGACTCCTCTGGTAACAATCTGCTATTGCTAAAATTTGCACTTTCTACCTAAAAGCACATTTCTACATGTATTCATTTATTCTGAATGTCTATAGGTGACTAGAAGTGTCGATACAGAGCGTGGCCGACTAAGCCCACAAGAAACGAAAACAGTCAAAGCGATTGTTGTTGGGAAATAAAACGAGAACCAATAATTTTCTTATAACTAGATTAGTGCGAATGCGAAATAAAAGCGGGAAAATAATACCCGAAATTGATAACGGAGTTCAGCCAATTGTGCCTACGTCTCCGGACTACTGCAGATCTTTTACTAAGAGAGAAAATTTACAGGTGATTACAAAACACTCACTACTCACAAGAAAGCTCTCTAGTATTGAGAGAAAGAAATGATTTTTGGGATGATTTTGAAGCTAAATGAGCTAGAGTATTTATAGCTGAAACTTAAGGACTAATATTGTAATTAACCCTATTATAAAATAAATAAAAAATTACCCCTTAACAGACCCCCTTAGCAGCCCCCCCTTAGCAGCCCCCCTTAGCAGCCCATGTGCTATTATTAATTTTCAACAATCTCCCACTTGAAGACTGATTTTAATTTGTCTTCACACCTCGATCAATGCAGCAGCATTTCTGGTCTTTTATTCTATCATGCCAACTGAAGCTGAACACAACTTCAGTTTGTTCGTGGTTACCGTCTTTGTCAACATGTCTGCCGGATTTTGAGCTCCACTAATCTTTTCAAGTTTCAAAATCCCATCTTCCAGAAGAGACCGGCTAAAATGATATCACAGTTGTATGTGCTTCGTTCTGGAATGAAAAGACGGATTCTTTGCTAGATGGATAGCACTTTGACTGTCGTAATACAAGACATTGTTTTCTTGTTTCTTGCCTAACTCTTCCAAGAAACTTTGGAGCCAAACCATCTCCTTGCTGGCTTCTGTAACAGCGACATATTCTGCTTCAGTTGTGCAGAGAGCAACTATCTTCTGTAGTTGAGAAACCCAACTCACTGCGGTTCCTCCTAGAGTATAGACATACCCTGTAGAGCCCCTTCTGATATCGACATTTCCGGCTAAGTCAGCATCTACATAGCCTGTCAGTATCGTATCTCTACCTTTGAAACAAAGTGCTTTGTTTGTGGTACCCCGCAGATATCTGAGGATCCATTTGATTGCTTCCCAGTGTATTTTGCCCGGATTATTCATGTACCTGCTAACAGCTCCCACTACTTGAGCAATATCTGATCTGATACAAACCATGTCATACATCAGACTTCTAATTGTTAAGACTACGGTACCTTCACCATGTGTGCATGTTCTTCCCCCGTCTTTGCTGAATGGTCTTTGGAGAGTCTGAAATGAACACCTAAAGGTGTACTTACTGGTTTAGCATCTTGCATGTTGAACCTAGAGAGTACTTTGTTGATGTACTCAACCTGTGATAACATCAAAGTCCCCGACTTTGTGTCTCTCTTGATCCTTATCCCAAGAATCTGCTTTGCAGCGCCCAGATCCTTCATAGCAAACTGCTTCGACAATTTTTGCTTCAAGTGTATAATCTCTTGCATGTCTGAGCCTGCAACGAGCATGTCATCAACGTACAACAATAAAATAATGAAGCTGTTGTCGAACCTCTTGATGTAGCAACAATGATCTGCTTGGTATCTGGTAAAACCACTGCTACTCATGAAACTATCGAACTTCTTGTACCACTGTCTAGGAGCTTGTTTTAAACCATACAAGCTCTTCTTCAACCTGCATACCAGGTTTTTTGTGTCTGCATCTATGAAGCCTTCTGGCTGCCTCATATAAATTTCTTCCTCCAAATCACCATGAAAGAAAGCTGTCTTTACATCTAACTGCTCAAGATGTAAATTCTCTGCAGCTACAATTTTCAACACCAGTCTGATTGTAGACAGTTTTACGACTGGAGAGAAAATTTCATTGTAGTCAATACCTTCTTTTTGCTGAAAGCCTTTGACAACCAATCTTGCTTTGTATCGTTTTCTCCCATCGTGCTCTTCTTTGATCATGTAAATCCACTTGTTATGTAGCGCTTTCTTGCCTGGTGGTAATTCAGATAATTCCCACGTCTGATTTGACATAAGCGAGTCCATCTCATCTTTCATGGAAGACTCCCACTTGACTGAATCCTCCACCTGCATTGCTTCATCATAGCACTCTGGTTCACCATTGTCAGTCAGCAACAAGTAGTGCAAAGAAGGTGAATACCGTTGGGTTGGTTTAGGAATTTTGGAGGAGCGTCTCAGTTCTGGTGTGCCTGGTTCTTCCTCTTGAACTGCTTCAGGACTGATCTGAACATCATTTCCAGAAATCTCCTCGAACTTAGCAAATTCCTTTGTTTCAGCTTCGGTATTACTTGATTCTGTGGTTGACCTGTCTTTGTACATAATATTTTCATTGAAAATGACGTCTCTGCTTTTGATGATCTTCCGATTTTCGTAGTCCCAAAACCGGTAACCGAACTCATCACCACCGTAACCAACAAAGACGCATTTGTTGGACTTGGCATCAAGTTTACTTCTTTCAGCAGAGTTTATGTGTACATAAGAAATACAACCAAACACTCTTAAGTGTGAAAGGTTTATTTCTTTCTTGCTCCAAGCTTCCTCTGGTTTTCTGCCATCCAAAGGAACTAAGGGCCCACGGTTGATCAGGTTAGCTGCAGTGTTGATAGCTTCAGCCCATAGAAATTTGGGCAATCTGGCATGTATCCTCATACTTCTGGCACATTCATTCAGAGTTCTGTTCATGCGCTCTGCTACGCCATTCTGCTGTGGTGTTATGGGAACTGTTGTCTCTATCTTGATCCCATTGTTTGCGTAGAAATCTCTGAATCTACTGACTCTATACTCTCCTCCATATTCAGACCTCAACCGCTTGACTTTCAAACCAGTCTCATTTTCCACCATGGCCTTCCATTTTTTGAAGGTATCGAAGACTTCTGATTTCTTCTTCAGAAAATAAACCCACACCTTCCTTGTTGAATCATCGATGAAGGTGACATAATATAGTGAGCCTGCAAAAGATGGAACTGGGGATGGTCCCCATACATTAGTATAAACCAATTCTAACCTTTCTGCCTTGGGTGTCTTGCCAATCTTTGCAAAACTGACTTTCTTTTATTTGCCAAAGATGCAATCCTCGCATAGTCCAACATCTACATTCTTTAGATCCGGTAACTTCCCTTTTGACAGAAGTATCTTCATTCCTTTCTCGCTCATATGACCAAGCCTTTGGTGCCATAGGTTTGATTTCCCATCAGCATCTGCTATTATAATGATATTCTCTAAATTTGAGGTTACATAGAGAGTACCAGTCTTCTTATCACGAGCAATGACGAGTGCTCCTTTGGTAATCTTCCATTCACAGCCTGAAAAAGTTGTATTGTATCCTTCTCCATCAAGCTGTCCAACAGAAATCAAATTTCTTTTGAGACCAGGAATATGTCTCACTCCTGCCAGCTTCCAGGTGGTCTGGTTTGGCAGCTTTAGCCGGATGTCTCCTTTTCCGACGATCTTCAAGGTTTCATCATCAGCAAGATGAACCTTCCCAAAATCACCACTGACATAGTTCTCCATGATTTTTTGGCATGACGTGGAGTGGAAAAATGCCCCTGAATCCAAAATCCATGATTCAATCAGACTGTTGACGCTTAAAATCATGGCATCACCTGTCTCCTCCGTCAAGTTGGTAGATTCCTGTGCGCCGGTATTTTTCTTCGGTGCTCGGCAATCTCTTTTAAAGTGACCCTTCTTGCCGCAATTATAACAGGTAAAATCTTTATTTCCTATTCTTGATTTTCCCCTTCTGGATTTCGATCTGCTACGATTTGAATTCCTTTCTGAAGTTCTCCCTCTGGACTCCGTGTGCAAGGTTGAGAAGGTTGATGCTTCCCCAGATTCTCTTCGTCGAATTTCTTCACTCAGTACCAGATCCCGAACATCGTCGAATTTTAATTTGCTGTTTCCCGACGAACTGATGACTACTGTAACAATAGCATTCCAACTGTCTGGTAAAGATGATAAGAGAATTAAAGCTCAAACTTCATCATCGAATTCAATTTCCACTGAACTCAACTGGGTTGTGATTGTGTTAAGTTCATTTAGGTGTTGTGCCACCAATACCCCTTCCGTCATTCGTAAATTGAATAATCGCCTCATCAAATGAACTTTGTTTGAGGCCGATGGCTTCTCATACATATTGGAGAGAGCCGCCATAAGACCCGCCGTGGTCTTTTCCTTTGCTATGTTGAAAGTAACATTTCGGGACAACGTCAGTCGGATAACTCCAAGGGCTTGTCGGTCGAGAAGAGCCCAGTCTTCATTCTTCATGCCATCTGGTTGTTTTTCTGAGAGGGGTTGATATAGATTTTTCTGGTACAGAAAATCTTTGATCTGCATCTTCCAAAAGCCAAAGTCCGCACCATCGAACTTTTCAATTTTCACCTTCCCTTCGTCTGCAGCCATCGCTCCCACTCGAATCTGGCTACTTCGGATCGGTTCTGACAATTTGTGCGAACCACCGTGTATTATAACACCTTCGTCGACAAATTCGTATCGCCGACAAAATTTTACTATTCATAAAATTTACTATTTACGTGAATAGTAACCTCACAAAAAATTGACAAAATTCACAACCAAAAGCTCTGATTACCAGTTGTTGGGAAATAAAATGAGAATCAATAATTTCCTTATAACTAGATTAGTGCGAATGCGAAATAAAAGCGGAAAAATAATACCCGAAATTGATAACGGAGTTTAGCCAATTGTGCCTACGTCTCTGGACTACTGTAGATCTTTTACTAAGAGAAAAAATTTGCAGGTGTTTACAAAACACTCACTACTCACAAGAAAGCTCTCTAGTATTGGGAGAAAGAAATGATTTTTGTGATGATTTTAAAGCTAAATGAGCTAGGGTATTTATAGCTGAAGCTTAAGGACTAATATTATAATTAACCCTATTATAAAATAAATAAAAAAATTACCCCTTAGCAGCCCCCCCTTAGCAGCCCCCCTTAGCAGCCCATGTGCTATTATTAATTTTCAACAATTGTGAAAGCAAGGAACCACATGGTTGCTTCTGGCTCCAAATGTTATTTTCAATATTCAACTTCCTAATATAATATTTACTTTGCAGTGAGTATCCTTTGTCGATTA